TATATGCCGTACAAGGATTCAGGAGTGATTGATGTATGTGCCTCTTTTTTTCATGCATTTTGGTTTTATGTGAGTGAAGTTTTTGTGCCTGGAATATTCATCTTATTTGCTTGCTTCTTGAGTGTTTTAGACACTATTATGTTTAGTTATGTGCTTAAGAAATGTTTCTGCTACGCATTTGAAACTGCTGTTGTTTGTTTTTTAGCAAAATAAATAGGAGAAGAAAAAAATGCAAACAACAGCTAGTGGTACTACAAGCTACAAAGATTGGCCAAAAATACAGGAAAATGAAGAAAGGGTACCCAAACTGTGTAGACACTCTTTGTGGTATATTCCAGCTGCTGCAAGATCCTGTTTAGTAAGAGAGAGTGGAGTTTCAAAGGGGACCAAACTGGCCAAAGAAGAGGGGCTCTTGGTTTTGCAGTGCTAGGTGGAAATAGGGAGAGGAAATAGTGAATTGCTGCAACCAGAATGGTAGATACAAGGTTTCACAGCATCACGATGCCTGGCTTGTTGACCTCAAGTGGATTGACAAATGGTCCTAAAAAGTCTTTTGATAAAATCAATCATCATCCTCTGGCATACTGATCAAGTCATTTTTACCTTTTCTGAAGCCATCTTTCATCCCCATCTTGCTTAGTATGGATGTGAGGTGGTATCTTTCTGTTTGATTGCTGTACTCCCATACCTGTAAATGGTGCACTCTGAATGGACCATTTAGGCATTTCTTGAAGATCAGTTCTCTTTCAGTTACGTCTAGTAAAAAGCGCCACAATTTACAATCAGTTCTAGACTAAGTCCAATTACAGATTTTTACTCTGCAGGAAATCCCGTTCAGCTATGTCCCCCAGGAGGAAAATGAAACCAAGTATCACATCTGTTGCAACAGAACTCTAAGGGGTCGGACTATAAATAACATTTAAAAAGGGAATTCCTTGTCCCTGTTACTGATTGCAAAAAATAAACCCCTAAAAATATGGATGCGTTTGCACTTCAGTACTAAAGCTGAGGTTTTTTAATGTGTCCTTGTCTTGAATACTAACACGACACCAGCACTGTAAACTTCCTTGTCTTTATTGTTTGCTGTGTCTGCCATTTCTGCTTGTCATGATGTCAGTCTACCGCAGAGGTGCCAGGGATTATTTTATGAAGCTGAGATTTGCTCTGGTAGAAAAAAAAAAAAAAAAAAGACATCTTTAATTGTAGGATAAACTGAAAGCATGTCTTGACGAGCATGAGATCACTAAGTGACAAGCAGTCCATGCTCACAATGTGTTTGTATTGATGATTATCTCAGCAGTTTCCTGTAGAAACTTTTTTCTTTAGTTTCCAAAGTCCTGGCACCTTTCAAGGAGGAGTTTGTTGACCTGAAGTTACAAATATTGATGCTATGGAACAAACCCAAGGGCTTCTTGAAAACAGTTATTTGGAAATGCAGTCGTGTATCACCTCTTGCTTGACTACCTTGGAGTATTTTAGAAAGGTGATTAAATAGCATTTTTCGCAGTGTGGAAAAATAAAATGGAACTGTCTTTCAAAAGCATCAGACCACCCTTTCTGGCAGACAGGAAGGACAGTACTTGGGAGAGCCCTTGCTGAGAGGAGCGTTGGAACACCATGACCTGTTCATGGCATAGGAGCTTCTCTGCCCCAGATCTGTCTTCACTTCCCTTTCTCCATCCAAGCCTCTTGCGGGCCAGCCTGTCACATCCAGGAGTCCCCCTGCCTTCTGGAACAACAACAGCAAGCATGGTTAGCACATTGCACTGGAATTTCAAATACCTAGGAGTCCCCCTTTGCTGTATCCAAGTGTGGCATCCCAACCTAACCAGGGGAAATAACTGTAAAACCACGGAAACGAAAAGACTTGCAACTTTTCTTAACTTCCGGCACTGGCAAATGCACCTTCCAGCTCTCCAAGGCCATTCACAAGTGTGAGGAGCGAAAGTAACTGCAGGGGTTGGGGTCCACATCTGTTGACCTGATTTGTCATCCGGGTAGATTTGCTGCTTGCTTAGGGACACAGATTTGGGATGTTTTAGAGAGAATATTGAGCCTTATCTGTCCCTCCCCCTGCTGCTTTTCCATATAGGCACAAATGATACTGCCAAGGGTGACCTAGGAGGTACAAAACATGACTGCAGGGCTCTGGGGAAAGTGTCCAATGGCATGGGGGCCCAGGTGGTGCTCTCCTCAATCCTGCTGATGAGTGACGGTTTCAATTTCTCCTTACTGAAGCCCATCGATTTCAGCCTGGAGAAGAGAAGTCTCTGGGGAGACCTTTTATCAGCCTTCCAGTTCCCGAAGGGGCCTACAAGGATGCTGGGAGGGGACTTTTTACAAGGGCCTGTAGTGACAGGACAAGGGGTAATGGGTTTAAATTGAAACTGGGGAGGTTTAGATTGGATATCAGGAAGTTGTTCTTCATGGAGAGGGTGGTGAAGCACTGGAACAGGTTGCCCCAGAGAAGCTGTGGCTGCCCCATCCCTGGAAGTGGTCAAGGTCAGGCTGGATGAGGCTTTGAGCAACCTGGTCTAGTGGAAGGTGTCCCTGCCCATGGCAGGGGGGTTGGAACTAGATGGTCTTTAAGGTCCCTTCCAACCCAAACCAGTCTGTGAGCCCTGTGCACCTTCACAGCAAAGAAGACCAACAGCATTGTGGGCTGCATAAGGGTCAGTGTTGCCAGCAGGTCAAGGGACATCCCTCTCTGCTGAGCCTTGATGGGCTGGAGTGCTTGTCCAGTTCTGGGCTCTTCAGTATAAGGATAGGGATAACATGCTACAAGGCTAAGAATTAACACGCTTACCACCATGATGAGTCTTTGCTGGCCAGGCATCACACACGGAGGAGGGCTGGTCTTTGTTGCTCCCTAGAAGAGGCTCAGCCTCAGTGTTGCTAGTTGTTGTCTTCCAATTCTTCATTATTTTTAAGTTGAGATTTTGTACCTCCTCCTGAAGCCTGGCTACGCTGACTATTCTGTCCTGACGATCGCTTCTCTGTTTGCATTTTTACTTTTCTTGTTTTGCATGGCTTTGACTTGTGTGCCTTTCCATACCTATGCAACGAGCTTCTTAGGAAAGCTGAGTCAATAGCACACAATGGGGCTACACCAGAGTGGGTGTCCTGGATGACAGGCAGCTGAACGCTGAGCTGAGGGTTACAGGCAAGGGAGGGCACTGATTTTAGAAGCAGTGCGTTGTACAGAGAAGATGCAGGTATACTTTGTTGGGTGGAGATGTGTTTCCAAATAGAGTACCTTTTGTGGAGGTGGAGTGAGTTGTAATCATAGGTGGAATTTTGCTGAGAGTAAATGTTTTTACAGTACCTCCTTCCTGCATTCAAATCCTGTTGCCTTAGATGATGTTCTCTGGCATGTGGTTACCACTGAGTACCGCAATGGCTGCAAAACTTCGTGCTGTTCCTCACGGCCACAGGGAAGCACAACTGCTGCCCTCCCAAGCCATCGGATTGCCAAGGCAGCGGTGTTTGTTCAGTACTGGACATGGGCAAAAGGTATATTTAGAATCTGCTCTTCTGGGCTATAGGCTCTAGTCAGGCCTTTTATTTCTAGCCTCCTGAGTAGGTCCCAGCAGGGCCAGGAGTGCAATAAGCAGTGGTCAGAAATGGGAAACTGGATGGTTGAAAAGTTGACTCAGTGATCAAAAACTTGCTTATCACAGGGTTTAATTTTATCTGGTATCTTTGGTAAATGCCTAGGATAACACACTGGATAACAGTGTTTTCAGGGCTGCCTGAGCCTTTAAAGTCGAGTGGAAATAAGACAGTAAGTGTGTCAGCTCTGTCGATCGGGATGGCGTGGTGGTTGATTTGAAGGGCAAGAATGGAAACGTGCTCCAGCTGGGCACCTTATGTGGTGCTCTAAGACAACCAAGTAAGTCAGTGACTTGAATAAAACAAACACAACTCCGAGTTCATTTATTGGATTAAATGCAGATCATGATAAAATTATGAAGTAAAGCATCACACAAAATCTCACTGATGTTTCTGTCAATACCATATCTTTGCTGACGTGCACTTGTGAGTTACATGATTCATCATTAATCATTACATAAATCATATGTTGACCAATGATACAGGTAGCAAGGAAACTGCAGATATTAGCCAGGAAGCAGGTATAATTAGATTAAATCAGAAAGAGGAAGCAGATTTGAATTCTGGAGGTTTTAGATTGCATATCGTTAAGAGGCAGCAAGAAGCACATTGCTCATAATTTTTTTAGCATTTTTGCTGGTTGAAATTCTCAACAACCTTAACCTACAGAGTTTAGAAAAATGAGGAAAAAATGCAAGGTGATTAGAAGTCAGCGGTTAAATGTTAAGGGCTGGGTCATTTTCCCTTGCTGCAAGGACAGGAGAACACGAGCGTAATTTGTGTAATCCCCTTGGGGCGAGCCAGGGGAAGGTGAGGGGCATTCTGTGATTATTCTTGGTTGTATTCAATTTTGTTAGTTTCCAACGGTCTTTAAATTTGAAATTAACATAGGGAGACTGCACTGTAATGCAAATGCAGGTTTCCCAGTGAGGAAAAGAGAGCATATCAATGTCTGAGTTCTTTTTTTTTTTTTTCCCCTTCAGGGATTTTTTTCCTCTCTGGGAGATTCAAGGGGATGGACTGCATTTCCCTGCATTTCTCTTGGCATGGGGCTAGCTGATGGCCTGGGTGCAGAGGGCTTTAATGACTCCACCTTACTCTCAAACAACAAAGCCAGAAGAGCAGGTTTGATGCAAGGGAGCAAAATTCTGCACTTTGTTTTCTGTGGAAAGCTGTCTCATTAGGACAAGGGAAAGGAGCAGGAGATGGAGAGTCTTTGAGGCACTGGGTGGTCTCTGGGTACTGCTTTACTTGGGGAGAGGGGAGAAAAAGGACATACACTTTCAGTACCTATGACTACATGGGTTAAGGTTGAGCCTTTAACACTACAGCTAACATTTTTCCATTCAACAGTGAATGCTGGGCGTTGCCTGGGACCAAGCAATAACTCATTCTAGGGGAGAGCAGAATCTGCCAAAAAAGAGGATGCTCTTGGATATGTTGTGTCTGATGAAGAAGTAGAAAGGGTGGTCAACCTTAAATTTCAGAACTTGGCCAACGTACACACTTGTTACTATCATATTTACGGCAGTAGCAGCAGCTGCCTCGGTGCCTTTCTCATCAACTGCAACAAAAGACATGTGACAAACCTTGGAGATCATCAGGTTAGTCTTCGCAGCCATTCCACTGAAATCAGCGCTGGGGCTGAAGGCAGTGTGCATTCCCATGCTGTTCAGATTATCGCTGAGGTCATATTTCTCATCCATCGTGAACTTAGGTAGGTACAGGTCCACAACAGTTTCGGTCATCTTCTTGGAATCAGTCCATTCGGAGAGCTTCTCATACGTCAGTTCTCTTTCCAGCTGTCATTTAAGAAAGAGAGCAAATTTGATGTTTGCAAGGAGAAAGCAATTAATTAACTATGTATTAATAAATTTAATGGCAATTTAATGAATTAAATGGTTTTTAAATGGCAAGTTTAACATTTAGGTGAAAGTGTGAAATACAGATTTGTTCTACTGAGGGTCAGAGGCAGGGTGTGCAACAAACATTTGAGACCTAACGCTGCAAGGTTTTGAGCGCCACTCCTGCCAAATTCACTGCAAAAAACAGACAGGGCACTCAACACCTACAGCTGCCATCCCCTGAGGTAGTTCTTTCCTCTCTCGTAATCCAGTCTTGGTGTGAAGGAAATGGCTGGGATATCGCCAGCTGCGCGGCAGGTGGTTTGGTCCAGCCCCGTAGGAACAGGTGTTAATATTGCCCGTATTTCCTTGGACCAAACCGCTTTCAGCAAAATCTTTCACTGCCACCCTGTGCCCTGTGTAACCGGGGTTCAGCTCAGGTCAAACGGAGGAGAGCAAGGAATAGTATTCTTGACGTGATAGATGCCAAGAATTTAACAATCTTGCAATTGTAGTAACTGCAGTGTCAGATCTCATTATTGTAGCAAATGCAGTCTCACCAAAATCCTCGTTTTTCAGACAGCAAATAAATGTGTTTGGGGGGCAAACGGAATGAAAACAAGACAGTGAATAAACTTCCAGGCCATAGAGAAAAGGTGTCTGTTATCCCAGGAAGAGGCTGTAACTGCTTGTGCAGTTCTGTCCCTCCTGAATGTTCAGTGAAGGGAGGTTTAACCCTTACAGACCATGTGGGATTGGGTGTCAGTCATGGGGCTGTTGGAGAGCTGAGCATCTGATTATGCACCATGTTGACTGTCTTCAGTTCTCGCCAAACTAAAGGCACGCAGTGTGGTTGAACTTTCTTGGGATTGGATGTCTATTAAAGGAAATTAATTCAGCTAGTGGAGGAGATCAAACAGCATGTCCTCAGAGGGGGACATATGATCACCTGCCTATCCTTTTTTTGGGAGGTTTTTCATGACTGGGTGGTGATACAAAATGGATGTAGCAGACGTTTTTACCTGTTCAAGACCCGTAGTACTGTCTTTGATGTCATCGGGAAGGAGGATGAACATACTGAGTTCGCGTTTCACGTACGGCAGCTCAATCATTTTGAAATTCATCGATGCCATGATGAGAACTGGAAATGTATTTCTCATGTACATCATCTTCACAGGCTTGGTCTTGTTCTGTGAAGCGTTTATTTGTAAGTAAGAAATCATGCCTTGAACGGAAGATGATGATGACTCAGTGCAGTGGGGGGAGAGGAATCTTTTGTAAGCAGCTTTTATAACTGTGAATTGTCATTTATTTTCCAAAGCTTTTCTTGATATTGCCTATCTTGGTGTTTGTCCCAGAGCATTTGAAGGGGGGGTGGGGGTGGGGGGGAGCTGAAATGACTGGTTTTTCTCCTGTCCTCAGAACATGCACAGGAGCCCACAGGAGCAAGAGAGTTAGAAATTGCCTGCAGGGATTAGGGGGATGGAGCAGATAGGGGATATGGCTTTACAACACTACGGCACAGAAGCAGCTATGGTTTAAGAGGACGAGTGCAGTTTTTCTGTGGTCTCCTCTCTCTGGCATTAAAAAGTGACCAGCTGATTGCTGTTTACATCACAACCCTTAACAGAAGACAACAGTAATGTCTGAGCAAAAAGGCTTATGATGACGGGAGTTCCTGGCAAGCAGTCAGCTTTGCAGGAGTATGTAACCTCTCAACATCTATGTTCAGGGAAGCGGGTGGTGTAGACGTGCTAATCAGAAGGCAGAAGCTACAGTTGGTGGAAATTGCACAGAGCTCTTGTCTTTTGATGTGGATTCATTGACGTCTGTTCTGGATACATGCCATTAACATTTCTGCTAGTCCTGTCCAGCCACACACACATTCAGGGTACCCTGTTGTGGCTGGTACTTGAGCAAGTATGTTTGCCCTTGGCTAGACTGCACAGCACAGAGGCCCAGGTACTGTCATCGTCCGTGGCATGGCATGTAGTTCGTGTCCATGAAGCTTGGGCTCTCAAAGTCATGTTTTTACAATGTAGCCCTTTTAGCACTATTTTACAAAAAGGTCTTAAGTGGCTCTAGTGCTTGTGGAAACACTAGCTGCTGTCTGGAGCTTGTTAACCTTTACCTGAGCAGCATCTTTATGTTGCAGTGAGCTGAGCATTGACACATTTTGCTATAACCAGAATTTCACAGAGAATCTAGTTACCACAGAGATACCTAAAAGACTTACGAAATGGAAAGATTTCAGCAGTAGCTGTTGTCACCAGGCTGTTTACGGTAAGGAGGATGCCAGAGGAGTTTACCTTGCTCAGTCGGAAGGGTTGCACATCTGTATTTGCTGCCTGAAACTTCACTTCCCATTCTGCCTTGAAGTAAATAGCATTTACCAGGATCAGCTTGGTGGAGCTTACCACGTCTTGTGAACTCAGCAAATTTTTGATTTTGCCTTTTGAAATGAGAAGAGTGAGGTTTCATTCCAGTGTAGCACAGTGAGGACATGTTTTGATTGATTTTTCTCTCAGTTCAACTCCTTGGTGAAAACGTCCATGACTCACTGTCTCACTCCTTAAAGTACTTCCCCAACACAAATCACTTTGTTTACAGTTTCCACAGCTGTTTGCTGCCCGGTTCTCCTGGGAATCCTTCCCCCAGACATGTCACAGCTTCATGGCAAGCAGCTAGAAGCAGAGAGCCAGATAGTGCCAAGCCAGCTGGTTACAGCAGGTAAGAGGAGCCCAGCACCCCTGGGCAGTGCAGGATGGTGCAGCTGGGTAGGCATCCCCACCCACCTTGGAGCATAGGCTGAGGTGTTTCTTCCCTCCTTCTACTTTGCCTGTGGTGGGGGGGCACAGCGCCAGGGCAGCAGTTGTGCTTTGGGAGCTGTGATGCAGAGAACAGTAGAGTCCATGGGAGCCTCCCCAAGATGCTCACTGAGGTCTGGATCAGGTATTGGAAGCTGCTTAAGTGTGCTGCTCTTCCTCCGGCCTCCCGCTGCCTCTCTGCTCACTGTCCCCATCGCAAGGCATGAGCTGGCTGCTGCAGTAGCACAGGGGGAAGCGAGGGCACCTGCCCAAAGCAAACGGCAGGCTGAAATAGCAGGAGAGGAAAGGTGTTGGGGTTGAGTTCAGCTTACCCTCAGTTTGTTTTTCAACCCAAGTGTTGATTTCCTTTCTGGATTGTTCTGGCGCTGTCTTAAAGTTCATCTTGTGTGGCTCTGCTTTGTAGTAGTTCTTACTGAGCTGTATGTATAGCTGAAAAATAGGAAAAAAAAAAGAAAAATAAATAAGTTCTATACTATACTTAATTTTTCATTCCCAAAGGGAAGTTGCTAGCTCTTGGAATTTTGGTAGCTTCTTGGGCCTAGAGAACTGTAGGATCTTGCTTTTTACTCTCTGTTGGGCTGTGAGTTAATGGTTAGGAAATAAGCAAAGGACAGAAAAATCCCTTCTTTGTTCTCACTTTTATTTGGAGAAGCGAGGAAGTCTGTGCACATCCCATGGATGTGCTTATTTTAATGTCTTATTTACAGCTGTATATATTGGGGGTTCCAATAATAAAGCCATATTGCATGAAAAGGAATCCCTACACCACAGTCAAAGGTTAATGCATCCATAAATACTGTGAATAGCCCGACTGGTATTTTTCCAGTTAAGTTTATCACTGGAATCCAGGGCTTTTCATTTGTACTATTCAGGGTCGGCTTCAAACCTGTTTGATTAATGACAAGCAATTAAAATGACAAGTATCATTTGCACCTTTTCTTACTCCTCTCTGAGATTTAACTTACAGGCACTAAGGGGAAGTTTTTTTCCACATAAACACGGTTGGCACTCTTCAGCGAGTAGCTGCTTCTGGGTTTGTTGATGGCAGCCAGGAGCTCTTTGAAGCCAGAATGGATATCTTCAGCTTGCTTGTGCTCAGGATCCTTGGAAAGAGAAACCATATATGTAGCGATTGCGTTTTGGTGTGAAGCTTTCGAAGCATGCTAAGTGATGTATGTATGAGAGGGATTTGGGTTCCCTCTCTCATACTTTTTTTTTTCCAAGTTTACCATCACTACAATTTGCAGGGCTCTGTTTATGACTGGATTAACTGATTTGCAATATAGCAAACATTCCAGACTATCCCAGTGACTTGTCCTTCACATTTCTTAGAGTCTGAGTGGGTGAAAGGAACTGAACTTGAACCTGTTGTGAAGTATGATGTGATTTGTACTTTAAAGAGGGGGGCAAACAACAAATGCTGGACTCCTAAAGATGCATCTGGATATTTTTATGCTGAAGATTCTTTATCTTGGTATTTTATTTTTAATAGATACCATTTTTCTTCTCTTTGGTCTCCCCCGAGAAGGTCTGGCCACAGAAGAAGAGCCTTCAGCTCCCACTGCTTGAGTGAAATGAAGAACCTGCAAGCAGAGTTTCCAAAGGTAAGAAACAGGCAGGAGGGAACTGGTGTGACTTAAAGCCAAACAAGGATCAAATGGTTGCCTTGTTTTGCTCTGTACAATAACCCACTGTGCTATCTGCTGCTTAGATGACTAATCAGTGGGATGCTGAAGCTGTAGCGTATGTGAATCCCATAGGGTAATAATGAGTATCACTGTCCCCGTCCCAGAACATCAATGCCATGCTCCTGTCTGCACACTGCAAGGCTGAACTCCCTTCCACAGCTGCTGCTGTCAGCAATAGCCACCTGTTTGTGCAAACTCAGATGGTTCTCCTCACGATAATGGCACAAAGACGTCCAAATGGGAGTGGGGTGGGCACTGCTGGGCAGGGATGAGCACCACAGCTCCCTCTGAGCCAGCAGTGTGCCCATGTGGCATTAGGAAAGGTTGGGTTAGGGGTTGTGGAGATACCAAATCCCTTTCTGTTTTCCTGATGGATTGCCAGGCAGTTGTTTAGGAAAGCATAAATCAAGATAGAAAGATGCATCCTGGCCCAGGGAGAGAGGGAGGGTGCTGGGATCTGCAATTGGTTAGGAGCTACTGGCATCAGCTCTTTGCTTCTCAAAGGGACTGTCCCATCTGTGACAGAATCATAGAATCACAGGATAAATTAGAGGCTGTAGAATAATTTAGAAGTTGTCAGGGTCAGAGAACCTCTGTGCTCAGCGTGATACCCACAGGACACTCTCAGTGGAGAAGTGAGGGACTTGCTATGAGATGATTAGAATTTATCATTCACTCACTACATTCCCTGGTCTGCCTTGGTTCCTTGTCATTGTGGTGGCAAGTTTTTCTATCTAACAATAAATTTTGAAGCCAGTGCAGGAGCCAGGTATTTTATGGTGTGTGTGCTTCATAGAGCAACCTACCTCTGCCATCTCAATTGCTGTATTGCCTTTTGCACCCAGGTATGTCAGAGCCAGAGCAGCTGATATGCTCCAAGGGGAAAAGAAAATGTTTTTGCACTTGCTGGTCTCATTCAGCTTGTTGAAAAGATCAACTGTAAACTTGCCGACTGATGCTGAGACCAGTTCCATTGCTACAACCTGGAAAGAGGCAGCAGACAGAATTGTACTATTTGGATGTTTAAAATCATGAACACAATACATATTAGTGAGAAATGTTGCATATGAAACACAATATATTAGCAACCACTAAAATGAATAGCCTGGTTGTATATTTTATATGCTACACAGGTACTGTTTGTCACCTGTTACGAACAGCAATTTCTTACAGGTTTTTTGTTATCCAGACAGTATTTTCCTATAATGGTACATATCTCCTCTTCTGTACACCTGCAGTTTTCTTTGTAGTTCTCTCTGCCTTTGGTTTTCAAAAAATATGCAAATTTGTCATCTGCATATTTTTCTTTCTTTTCATCCTTAATTAATGATTTATCAAAGTGATGTTCCCAGGGGAATTTAAAAGCAGTTTTAGTACATAGGTTCACAACACGCCTGAGTTTCCCACTACAGAATGGTTTGGGTTGGAAGGGACCTTAAAGACCATCTAGTTCTAACCCCTCTGCCATGGGCAGGGACACCTTCCACTAGACCAGGTTGCTCAAAGCCTCATCCAGCCTGGCCTTGAACACTTCCAGGGATGGGGCGTCCACAGCTTCTCTGGGCAACCTGTTCCAGTGCTTCACCACCCTCTCTAGGAAGAACTTGAAGATCCAAAATTTCATTTTTGGATCTTCCAAAATTTCATCCAAAACTTCATTTGGATCTGTATAGAATTGAGAGCTGAGAAAGAATTTAGGCATAATTGTTAAGCTCATGTGCTTTTCCTGGCCAGCCACCTATTCTGAGTAGTGTCATGAACAGCAAAGCTGTTATTTGCTTTTAGACTGATGGAATTTTATTTATGATGTGTATCTCCCACCCCTTCTGTATGTTCCAGCACTTTTATTTTCCCCAGAAAAACGGCAGATTCCTTGAGGTTATTAGTATTCCAGACTTTAATATGTATGCCCAGTAGTACCTGCCTCATGTTTTCCCATCAAGAGACTAGAAATTTTGTTATTATTATTGTTGTTGTTGTTATTATTATTAAGATTCATATCTGTAGAATGGATCTACAGAAACTGTGGGGAAATCTCTGAAGCCTACACGTATTTATCAAATGTTTGGTTGCCAAACCACGACAGTTCTTCTGGCAGTCTGTGCTGTCAGTACCAAATCTGTGCCTCAGAGTGAATTTCTTTCCTTGGAGAACACAACCAAGAGTACATCTGGATGGCAATTTCTGTTTTCTGCTAATGGCCAAATACTCCTCTGAGTCCCTGGCCTGATCATGTGCAGTGCTGTGCCTTTGCAGAATGAAAATGACCTTTTCTTCACCTGAAGTGTGTGACCCCTTTATCAAACTGAGGATCTGAATTAATAAGACTGTTACTGACCTAAGAAAACCTTCCTTCTTGAGATCAATTCTGCCCTGCCCCGAATTAGCAGTTTTCCTTAGACTCACAGATTTATTTTCTCTAGGGGTTGACATCAGGAGAAACACGAGTTGAGCATAATGCACTATAACACTGGTATGGTATAATTTACCTATACAGTCATGCAAGCCACAGATTACTTTTTAAAAGCATCAGAAAAATTACCTAAATTAGTTTAAATATTTACCTCTGATCCTGTGAGAGAGAAGACTTAGGTCCTGTCCTCAGTCAGGTTCTGTGTTTGTGTGTTAAGCAATGAGCAAATTTAGAAATATAGTGCTGCTTGCACCTCCCTTTCCTTCTCCCCTACATCCATGTTGTTTCCGCCTACCCGAAGCTCCTTTCTACCAATTCCCCGAAAGGTCTTATGTAATCTTGTCATCCTTGTTGACCTTGTCACTTTTCAGTTTTAGACATTTCAAAAGGACAATGGAATTAAAATCTCAACTCTGTTGTTACACCGTAATAGTCTACTGACAGGACAGCAGAACAGTTCACCCATTCCAATGGTCTTCTGGCGGTGTGGAGGGAACTGGTCTGTTGCTTTAAATAAATGACTAATAAAAAGGTTACACAACTAGAATGCTTGGTTTTGGGCTCTGGATGTCAGCCGATGCTGTAGGCCGGATTCTCCCTTCCAACTTTGTGCAGCTGTGCCTCCTGGGTTTCAAAGGCGGTACGTCAGCACAAAACACCAGGCTTAGTGATTGAATTAGGCATTGGGAGTCCAGCTTCAGATTGAAGATCACAGACGGGGACAAAGCCATGAAGCACCGTTCGGGGTAAGGGCTGGACACCCCACTGGTTGTGTTGGTGAAAGAAAAGCTGAACATGAGCCGGCAGTGTGTGCTGGCAGCCCAGAAAGCCAACTGTATCCTGGGCTGTATCCAGAGAAGTGTGGCCAGTAGGTCAAGGGAGGGGGTTCTGCCCCTCTACTCTGCTCTTGTGAGACCCCACCTGGAGTGCTGCGTCCAGCTGTGGAGCACTCATCAGAAGCATATAGACTGGCTGGAGTTAGTCCAGAGGAGGGCCACGAAGATGCTCAGAGGGCTGGAGCACCTCTGCTATGGGGACAGGCTGAGAGAGTTGGGCTTGTTCATCCTGGAGAAGAGAACGCTCTGGGGAGACCTTATTGCAGCTTTCCAGTACCTGAAGGGGCTACAAGGAAGCTGGGGGGGGCTTTTTACAAGGGCCTGTAGTGACAGGACAAGGGGTAACGGGTTTAAACTGAAAGCGGGAAGTGGAGATGGGACATCAGGAAGGAATTCTTCCCGCAGAGGGTGGGGAGGCACTGGGACAGGTTGCCCAGAGAAG